GGCGCCCTCTATTTTAGTGTATAAGCCCGGCAAATAAAGCGGAGATAATGGCAGATAGAGAGAGATAGAGACAGATAATTCGAGTCAAGCGAACAATAGGCACCATAAATAAAGTGTGTGAATCACTGTGATTTATAGCGTGTGTTATAAAAGTTGTTAAGTATATTACAAAGTTTGTATTGAGAAAGGATAAACTAGTTTTAATCAAGAAATAACTTGTATCGCTGAAGTTTCTCGGAAAGAATTTCTACGGGAAATTAATAAACTAGCAGATACGTAACAATATTGTATTCATATACGAACAACGTTTTATAATACACAATTAAAATCTTTATTTAAACTGATCAATGGTTGTAAAAGTCACTCTACATGTTTCAACGTGATATTATGTCATCTTCTGGAGTGTGAAAAACAGTCATGTCTGTTGCCAATTTTAGAGAAAAGTAGACATAAAGTTGTTTCATTTAATTAAAAGGATTTAGTGTGCTTGAACTCAGGTGACAGCTTTGCTGGTACTAGAGTTCAACTAAAACTTCGTGAACGGGACAGTTATTAAACCTGGGTATTTATTTTTCAACTTGCTTCAAAACCTTTAGAGTTAAATTCTTAGTCTCAAAACACAGAAAATGTGTGTCTCTTTAGTTACCATGAACATTTGTCTAACATAATAAACTAAGATAATATCATCAGTGTTTGTTTGTCAAGATCTTTATGAAATTGCAACAACAAACTCTATTTTTTTAGTTTTTCATAAAATTGTTAAAACATTACCACATATACCAAATGCTACAATTATGATTTTTTTTCTCTGTATCGTTATAAGAAACTACACTTTAAACTTCCCAGCATAAAATAATTATATTTCAGTGGCGTTGGAACCAGAGGTACTATAGCACTCCCACTTTTATATATTTGACTTATATAACAACTTATACAGTTTTTTTTTTGTTTGTTTGAAGTTAAGCACACACCTACACAATAGGTTATCTGTGCTCTGCTCACCACGGGTATCGAAACCCGGTTTCTAGCATTGTAAGTCCGCAGACATACCGCTGTCCACTGGGAGCAATGCTATTGATGAAAATGAAAATCTTAATAATGATAATTCAGGTAAAAATTGCTTTGTGCTAAAACATTGACTCCACGCTCTTACCAAGAATTACATTTGGTGGAGACAAAATAAGGATAAAATAATGTCTGCAGTATCTCTAGCCTTGTTTCCTTACTTTTTTACAGGGTTTTGCAAGTTCTTAAATAACCAAATTTTTACTTACCTTGTTTGCTGATTTTTTTATGCTCAACTATGGACAAAGAACTAAGACACAACCTCCACTAAACGCGAAAGAAATTTTAACCAGTGAAAAGCAGCTTTTTCAAATACAACATATATGTCTAAAATATCGCTTTAAATAAACCTTCGTGTCTTTTTTAAAGTAATTATTTTACGAATGTGTGTAATGAAATTGAATATTATGTGTATTGATTTTTTATGCCTTCACTTCATAAATACACCGATTGTATAATGTGCAAAGCATTGAGTATCTCCATGTTACAGTCATCTAATGTTCATTTGTTATTGGCTGGTAATTCCCGTTTCACCCTGTACTTAAACTTTTTAAAGGAACACCAGATATTTGTAAAAAAGCTGACTTCAAGGGGTAATGATAACATCGTTTACACTAGAATTGTGATGTGTATCAGCTTATGTAAAATGTAGGAAAAACAAATCAACTTTTCAATACCCCTACGACCTTCGCAGTACCTTATTTAGTATTGTACAAACAGTTTGGGATTAATATACCAAGCCATTTTTGTTGTAGGGTGGCAAGAAGAATTACAAACGGGCCTTTTTGGGTAGATTTTTTTTCCTTGTAAGTCTGATATGCCTGCTTTTTTCGTGCATTTTTATATGCTTACAGCCAATAGCAAAGGTTTTAAAGTGTTGTTTGAACTACATCTTTACTGTTTGAAATTAAATTAGAAATAAAAAATCAAAATGGTAATTAAAATTGGTATATAAAAATTAATTAAAACACAGCGTGTAGTATAAATATTGTTGCGTCATCGAGATCATGTGACTGTTCTCACGCCCTCTAGTTTCTAGAACTATCTTGTTCCTTCACGAATGCCCTAGCATTTACTAGATAGGGTAGTCGGGTATATATAAGAGGGTGACAACGTGACGGGGGAATAATGTGTGTGTAGACAGTGAGTATTTGATCTGCAGTCAGAAGTATTATTGAGCACAGTTGGCGGTGGGTGGTGATGACTAGCTGCCTTCCCTCTAGTCTTACACTGCTAAATTAGGGACGGCTAGCGCAGATAGCCCTCGTGTAGCTTTGCGCGAAATTCCAAAACAAACAAACAATTATTGAGCACGTTCGTTGTTATAGCGTTTGTTTAGCGCGATTGTTGAAGTTGAGTGTATCGGTAAAGTTATATT